GGCGCTAGCCCCGCCCACGCCCGCCCTCATTGGTCGCGCCGGGCGTCGCTTAGCCCAGAGGCTCCACCCCTCTCTCCGTCGTGTGGCTTGAGTGGGGGAGGAGGCGCCATTTTGTAACGCGTCATGGTCCCGTCTGTCACGTAGTTTCTCTTTTTATATATATATATAGAGACAAATATATATGTCTATATATATATATTTAGACACACATATATATGTATACATACATACACACACRAACTAAATGCTTCTATCCTCAAAAGCATGGCCTTGAAACGTGTAAAATATTCTTCAGTAAGGGGCAATTCAATCAATTCTATGCCAATACGAAGCAATTAAACCAACCAAGAAGCTCTTCTGGGCTCCCCCTTTGCAGGGCCCAGTTTCCTATAGCACAGTGGTGATTGAGAACGCAGCATCCTGCAGTTTTGCCCCTTTGTCGCTCTGGAGGGAGTTAGGGTTTATTCAAGGGGGGATGAGGGCAGTTGAGGCTTCAGAGGCGCCTCGGAGCTGATGGAAATAAATAATTCCCTTATACATTATCTAATCTACCCCAGCATGTGAATATTTGCAGGCTTTAGTGTGTACCTGGCATGGAGTGGAGGATTGTTCCTGCCTGACAGCGTTCATGGGGGTGATTGTTACCATGAGGCCAGAGCACAGAGAGGCTGTGTTAGGTGGCCTGCAGCTGGTGCCCGCTTTCTTGCTTGCTTCCCACAGCCCTCCCTCCCGTGCACGTAGCGGGGTGCGCRTTTGGCCCCCTTGGCTCGGCGCTGCAGCGTGGCCCGCTGCCTCTCCAGAACAAGCGGGACTCCCCACCTCAAAGCAGCCTGTTCTTCTCACGGCTCCGTGACCCTCAGCACCTTCCACGCTGAGGCAAAAGGCAGAGCTACCCCTTGAGAATTGCACATATAACCCATTTTTTCCCCCCCGCCTTTTCATTTTAATAAACCCCAAAGAGCCCAGAGACCCAGAATGAAACTGGAGGGTATGCGCAAGAGTGTAGGGGTGCCACCCAAAAGCACCTAGCGTGGCCTTGCTTCGTGACACGGACTTACTGAATAGCTGAGCTAGAAATCCAGCAAGCAAAGGGGCTGTTCTTCCACATGGGGATAAGAAAAAGCCAAAGAAACACCCCTTAGACTCAGTTTTGCCCTGCCATTACCTTCTCGGGCTTGGGCTGAAGTGTCAAGTTACCAAGAGACAGCTGGAAAGCATCTGACCGGCTCCACTGCCAAATCATCCGGTCGGGTAGCACGCCAGAAAGCGCGATAGCCCAAAGAGGGTCCTGCAGGAGCAGTTTGTCTAAACAGATACAACTGGAAGTAAAATGATGTTGTGGCAATGTTGATATATTTTTCAAAAATGTATCTATATTTTCTCTCCCATCATTTAGCCTCCCAGCCCTGCAATAAGAAGATACCAATCACAAAATCTTCAGCCGCCTTTATCGTATTTGCAGATGCAGCCTATCATTCCTGCAGTGAAATTCCCTGCAGACCATGTAGCAGAAGTCAGAGGTTTTTATAACTTTGCAAGTTTTTTTTCTTTTTTTAATGTGTTAAGTGTTAAGAAGTTGAAAAGACTCCAGGAATGTAGAAAATAGCAAAACATTGACTTCTACTCTGGTACACAAAAGTTGCAGAGAACTTCTTGTGAAATGGGCAAATGTAAGGTCTGAGTGGTGCTTTAAAAGACAATGTGTTCCAGTTAAATCAATCCTTTGTCATGAATTAATTCATCATAGAAGTAAAAACTAGAAATTACTTTAGTATAGTCCTGTGTAGTGCATGGAAGTTGCATATCTGTCCTTTATCCTCTAAATCTATTCCTTAAAACAGAGCCACACCTTTAACTCTGAACTGTGATTATTTTTTCCAGAATAGATCATAGAATCATRGAATGGTTAAGGTTGGAAGGGACCTTTAGAGATGACCCAGTCCAATCACCCTGCACACGCAGGGTCACAGGATTTCATCCAAGCGCGTTTGGAAGATGTCCAGAGGAGACTCCACAACCTCTCTTGGCAACCTATTCTAGTGCTCTGTCACCCTCAAATATTGCAGATATTGAAAAAAAAACGCAGCTATTCTGCAACATCCAAACATGCACATCAATGTATTAGTTATCTAAGTAGCATGGCCTTTTTTTTTATTATTATTATTCTTTTTATGAGGGGGCAAAGATGAATTTCAAAGTCCTCACTCAAATCCAGCCTAACCCTGTTAGAACGGACCTGTCGTTGCACTAGGTGACTGCAGTGGGTTCCTGCTGTGAATTGGACTGGTATTCTCAGTGTTTCTCCCTGTCCGTGTATCCACATCGTAGGAGCAGCACCGCAGCTGCCCTCAGACCTGCAGCATTCCCTACCCCGGGGCTAAGAGCAGGGCTGAGCTCGCACCCTGGGGACATGGAGCTTCCAGCTGCGCTTGGCCACGCCGCGGGGCAGGCATGCCTGGGATTCCTGTGCGCTTGGCGAGTGAATTCACTGACCAAACAACAGCAATAACGGAGTTTGCAAAACGAGAAAAACCTTTAAAAGAGCAGGGGGCACCCTGGCCCCAGCGGAACAAAAGGAGCTTTCCCGGTTGCCTGCTGGCCTCGGGAGCGGAGCAGCTCCGTGGAATGGGGGTTAGTTATCCATGGGCAGCTCCGCAGCATGGGGGTTAATCATCCACGGGCCCTCCCGCAGTGCCCGGTGCCGCTGGCAGCTGCCAGCCCCTCTCGTCCCGCCTCCTCCCGGGCCAGCGGCCCTGCGGCTTTGGCCCTGGCGTGAGGCGGGTGTCCAGAGGTAAGAGAGGGAGCCCGGCCGTCCCCGCGCTGCGCAGCGTCCCCGCGGGGGCCCTCGCAGGAGGGCAGGAGCCCCATCCCTGCTACAGCCACGTGAAGCTCGCGCCGGGAAGCTGCAAAATCCCCTTGCAGAGCAGACGGTCGGAGGGGCTTCGCTGCAGCGCCTGCCGGGCGCCGGAGCCTTCCAGCCGCCTTGGGCTGAAGGTTGGCAGGGCTTCTGGCGAGCGGCGGCTGGTTCGTGCAGCGTTTCAGGTGGTGGCCGTGGCCTTCCTCCCTGGGACTGCCGTTTCGCTTGGCGTTTGGGGAGCTATTGAAATTCAGAGCACGGCTCGAGCAGCTCAGCTGATCCTTGGCGTGACCTTGTTGGCTTAATGGATTTATTCCAAAGCTGACTTTGYCCCAGAAAGTGAGGGGGGTGTATGCGCACACACACAGCGACAGCAGTAGCTTGCCTGGGCTTTCCAGACTGCTGAGTTTGGCGTTGCAGAAGCTGAGATTTTAAGCATTAAGTAGAGATTTTGCGTCTTTGAATCTYGATCTGATTCCATAAGTGTAAGTGGGATTTTTTGTCTTAATAAGGATTGGGAAAAAAATCTCATTGCTTGGGTCACATCTGCCGTGGTGGCTTGAAAGAGGTCGAGCAGATCTGGKTCCTCCTCCTCTGTGGCAAAGCCCAGGCTGGTGTGCATGGTTGAAATCTTTACTTTCTGGCAAGAAGATCATCTCGAGTATGAGTTATTTCTGTATTGCTGAGATGTGAGCCACATTCTGCTAGATGAAACATGAATACAGTATTCACTTTAATTTACGATCTAAACGGGCCTGCAATAGGTACACAGGACAGAAGACATCCTCTCCTRCTGACTTGAGAGGTGAGGAACAGGGAGACTTGAAGAATATGCCCAGAGGCCCAGAGAAAATCTGTGACACAGGCGGGTGTTGAAGGCAGCTGCCCTGAGGCTCAGACCAGACCCGTCTCTTAACCCGCACAACTTTCCCTCCCTCTTTCTCAGTTTGGAGATGAATTTAGTTGAAGGGAATGGGAGTTGCTAAGAGACCAGAGGAGTCCTGGAGCTTGTGCTGGGGMTGAGCTGTGACTTTGCCTCCGGCACTCGGCGCTAAGAAAGAGGATGTTGTAACGTGAGGATGCCCAGGGCACCCTTGGCTCTGGGGAGAGCAGCCCCTTCCTCCTCGTAGTTAAGGGCTTTCACTTTGGAGGTGACAGTGGCCGAGCCTGCAATTTTTCATGAGCAGGGAGCTTTGGAAAGGAAAAGGTTAATCACTCGTGCATGTATTACTCCTCGTCCTTGCTTCTCCTCCCGCATGATTGCAGCTCAAAGGTGACAAGGCCAGACAGACTCTTCCCACCCCATTTCCACAGTTTAGTGTTTGCTTCACGTACACTGACTCACAGCAGCAYGAGTTTCTAGGCCAGCTTTTGGGCAAGTCCAGGATTGTTTTAACTTCGGATTCAGATGATACCTGTGGTCACATAATTGCTAAATAACGGCTTTCCTTTTTTGTTTTTTTTTTAATGTGGCTTTTGGAACCTACTGCCAAAGATGATTAGGAAGATGACCTATAGACTGGGAAGACACGTGTCTGCTGTGGCAAGTAGGACCATCCAGGTGAGAAGATTTCTGCATGGTGAGTAGTGTATCCTGAAACAGTCCCTGTGTGGAAAGTGTTTCCCTCACCTGGGTGTTGGGGGACACTGCTGGCAGTGTTTTGGGAACAAGGCAGGGCAGATGAGCTTYCTCAGCTTTCAGGAGGGTACTTCAAGTCTCAAATGCACAGGAGTGTGTGTTGTCTGGTAATAACACCACAGATGGGTGAAATTTTTGTGCMTGATGCTTTTATAATAGCTTGAATTCTCAATCCTGCTTTTCAAAAACAGGCATCGTTCTTCAGGCATGATAGATTGCAGGATTYAGTTCTTTCACTCACAGTAATATGAATTTAAAGTTATGGCAGCAAGTGACAGAACACAGCTGTAAAATGGTTGGAGAGGAATATCACTCAGTGATGATGATGATGGTGATAATTAGTATTAATAGTAGTGGTAAATAGTTACCAAATACTTAATTAGCAGAAAACACCAGTTTTAGTCTTTCTGAGCTCATCTGTGGACTCAAATTCCCCTCAAAGAACAGCTGAAAAGAAGGATAAATTTACTGTGATGAGGAAATATACTTTTATCAAATAGCCAGAGGCTATGATAAATCACTAACTTTACTGTATTTATCCCTAGGTGCTTATTTCAGGATTCAGCCCTCCGTACAGGAAGCATTGGTGGAGGGGAGACCGGTTGTAGCCTTGGAAAGCACCATCATTACCCATGGCATGGCCTATCCTCACAATCTGAGGTTGCTCTCTTCCTAGATCAACAAAGAATGAGTCGTGGAACTGATGGATCAATACATGTATTTCTAGCCTGCTCCAAACCCTCCTAGGAGTTGCATGGAGATGTTGGGTTGCTAGACATGCAGAATATAAATTCTGATGTGAAACTGTTGTGTATCATCTTCCAAGGAGAACGGGACCATAGGGCAAATACGTGCTGACTTATTTCCTTATCCATCACCTTCAATTCCTGCCTCCCTTTAAAATGTGGCAGAACCTAAAGTCATCACCTACTCTAAAACAGAGATAACTTATGGCTGCATGATATGTATAGGTACTGGAAACGCTCTTCAGTTTCTTGCATAGGGTAGAAATGAAGAGAAGATCATAGTGAAATCTTCTCTCTAATTCTTTCCAAAATGTCTRCTGTGAAAGCTGCTGGTCCTTCTTGCTGCCTTCTGTGCCCTGCACACACACAGAAACCCCAAAACTTTGCTACCCTTTATTTTTTTGGTGTCCCCTAGATCCGTGTCCCAGGGAGAGATGGTGCAAGAAACCACATCTTTCCAGGCAGTGGGTGACAGTTCCCCCCATCCTTGCTTCAACAAAGCACAGGGAGGTTTCTGTATTGATTTTTTCCATCCCACTTTTTACATGGGCATTATTTGGCCCTAGAAGGAAGCTCTACAAATTCAGATTTCGAGAGAGGAAGTTGGAGATTGCCTGGAGTACCTATGGATAGCTCCAAAAGGGAGAAGAAGTTGCTCTTGAAGAGACAGAGTAGCATGCAAATGAACAAGTATAAAACTTGCAAAACTTCAAAAGAAATGGTGTGTAGCTGTAGCACACGCATCCTCAGGTTGCAACTTTTCAGCGCTGTTTTTACCCTATACCTGAATGCCTGTAGTTTGAGAGATCTGTCCTGTTTATTTGATTAGGCATGAAGTATTGGGTTCCCATGAAGGGCTATGATTTCAGAAATAATGACTATTCCAGACAAAAAGAAAGTCCCTTTTTKAAGAAGATCCCCAATATTTAGCAGTCTTTTGTACAATCGTATTTCCCTCTAAGCCAGGATTTTTTTTCAGATGTTACCTCAAAAAAAGAAGCACAGAGTTTAGCTTGTGGTCCTGAAAACAGGAGCACTGGATGCTCCAAAATTAAGTRTAAAGATTTCTGCCATTAGGAGGACACGAAGGAGGCCTTGGCCTTGGTAGAGATTGTGAGAACTGTATAGAACTGGAACCTGTTCATYGATGGCCATCAAATATGGGGCAGATCTTGGGTCTGAGTGTTTGCCTGGTTAGTTTTGTTGTCATTCTCTTGTCTATCTCATTGCAGCATGGCCAGAGAGGTGGAAGAAATTGTAACAGCAAACGGGGCAGTGCCAGCCACTGTGGGTGTCCTCAGGGGCAGAATCCACATTGGCCTCACGGATGAGGAACTTCAGTTCTTGGCAGGCAGTAAAAATCTAATTAAAGTGTCCCGGAGAGATCTCCCTTACGTCCTCAGCCAGGTATGGCATGCACACTTGCACACTTTCTATTTCTGTGTCACACTACAGCAATGGTGTGCTTCCTAGCTTCAAGCCAGGTGAAAAAAGAAATACCATGCAAAGTGTTCCCTTATCCATAAAGTTGAACACATGCCTATCTAGAGTCAAAATCAGCAGAATTAGGGAATAGCAGACATGCAATACAACTCCTAAAAAGTCAGTCTGTGCTGACCGCAGAACAAATAAAGGCTTGGCTAAGGCTATTCCTCTTGGCCTGATAAGGCAGCRTTGTGTTACATGTGAACTTAAGTGACATGCAGGCCATCGTAAATAACACACAGGGTGCTTAAAGTGACACTGGCTGCCCAGGAAAGCTGCTGCTTGGAAGGCCTCGGAGGACAAAGGCCTTTGCTGCCAGGGCAAGAGTGCTCACATAGCAGAGGCAATGAGTCTTGAGATTATTCACTGGGTAATTTCCCATTTGCACCGGAAATGGAGGGCTATGTGTGTCTTCATTTATGAAAAGCAAATGGTTTCATTTCACTTTCAAACCTGTTATAGCTCAGTTCTTTAGTCTGGATCTTTAGTAAGGCATGCTTTCCTCAAAGCCCCAAAATCCTTTTTTGGTAAGTCTAGGGACAACCCAACTGTAGCACAACTCGTGTGTTAGTGTCACCTTTAAAATGATTTTTTTTTTTTACAGTTCCATGGCATGTTTTGGTTAATGGTCTGTGGAGGTTAGTTTTCCTTTGATTCCATTAAATAGAGTTAAACATGTCAGGGAACTCAAGTTAGTGTACTATATATACTGATAGACTGTAAAACACAGCAGATGCGTTATATTGATGCCTAAGTAAACCAAAGAGTGGCTCTATTGAGAAAACCAACAGGCACTGGGGAACGGGAACGTGGAGGTTAAAATACTGCATTCATTTAGACTTGCCATCAATTGGAGGCAAGTTGCATCCAAGGTAGCTTCTCTCCCTCTCCGCTCCTCTCCATTCTGGGGTTCCACTCACTCTTATCACAGCCCAGTGCTCAGAGAAGCTAAAATGCCTCCCCATAAACATCTGAATCTGGCTTTCTTAAATTCCAAATTAAGTTTTCTCTGGGTAATAGAACGCTTATATCAAAATTGCACTTATAAGCTGGTAACAGCAGGCTGTTGGATGCTGGTGCGTGCTGGACCGCACCAAGAGCTGCCTGCATGTTCTGCATGTTCTGTGGGTCACCACTGTGACTGGTTGTCCCCRACAGGGCTTGTCTGGGGGCACGACGGTGTCTGGCACAATGATAGCAGCGCACAAAGCAGGAATCCCCGTGTTTGTGACAGGAGGCATAGGAGGCGTCCATCGTGGGGGAGAGGACAGTAAGAAAAACAGCCCATTCTGCTTTGCTTTATGTTGCTACTGTTCTGTTCCGTTTTGTTTTGTTTTTTAATTCATTCTTTTTCCTCACTCCCAGTTTGTCCTGCAGTAACTGGGAGTGTTAGTAACTTTCTCCTCAGTAAAGAGTTATCATTCTTTTTGACAGTTCTGTGGTTATATATAGAACAAATTTTGGCTAGTACAGTTCTCAGAAATTCTCCCTCATCTGAGAAAAACCATAAAAGAGGCCATTTAGAAACAGTTCTGCAGAAGCACAAGGTGCACCCAGCTGATCTGTTTGGTTTATGCACGTTTCTTTCCTGCGTGTTCTTTCCAGAAGCTTTGAACAATTCCTCTTGCAAATTGTTAGTATTTAGCCGTACACATCCCTAACATAGCACAGGGGTACAGCAGTGATGCCCAGTGTCTCTTTCCGGGGTGACATAAATTCCAGACCAGAATTGCATGAGGTCAGGAAACCTTTTTGCACACATTTTGCCAAATCAGAATGTAGTTATTCTAGTCCCTTAAACGTTGTTCTTGCTTTGTATCACCTKCTTCCATCCTTTCTGCTGAGCTGTTGTGTGCTGTTGGTGCATGTAATCAAACAGCTGAGAGGCAGTGCAAGGCTGCACCTCCACCCTGAGCCTCCTTTTCTCTGTTTTCATTTTGTCTTAACAATCTCCACAGCTAAGGGCGTGATCTAAACCTGTAATATCTGTTAGTGGCCCGAGATACAAGCAGACCTTGTCCTTCCTACAGATAAGGCTTTTTAAGGATGCAACACTCTCACCCACACACCGCTGCTTGCCCCCTAACAGCTCTGGATGTGAGTGCTGACTTGACGGAGCTAGGACGGACTCCAGTTGCTGTTGTATCTGCAGGAGTCAAGTCTATCCTGGATATTGGCAGGACTCTGGAATATCTGGTAGGTAACATGGGCTGCAGASCATTAAAGCAGGTAATGTTGTACTTTGAGAACTGAACCCAGCAATGCCAAGAACGTGCAGTGGTGCTGGGCCAGCTATTTAGCCCAAAATCTTTAGAAATGACTGTTGAGAGGATAGAAATCGAGGTCACAGTTCACTAGACCTGAGTTCAGCTGAGTTAAAGTGCTCACTGCTCCTTAGCACAGATCTCGGTGCCCACGAGCCTGTTGCATGTGCTGCTGCTTGGSAGCCCAAGGCAGTGTTGGCCAAGCCCTCCTCCCATGGCCACGGCTGGAGGTGGCTGCACCGAGAGGCGGGCGGCATCGCTAACCTAAAAGCAGAGCTCGACCAGGTATCAGGAGGATTTTCAGTAGAGTCCTTTGTCAAGGATTAGTATGTTACCAACCACCAGGGCCGGCTCTTCAGGTGGCATCAAGAGCCAATGCTTTTCCTTGGTAAACAGAACACATTTTTGTTCCTTTCACTGCATGACATATCTTCAGATCAAAGATCAGGCTTATTGTTGTGCCTCACTGCTGTGCTAACAGCAGCTCAAAACCTTTTTTTCAGCTCTGACCACAGGCGAGGAGTGTGTATGTCTCCAATATACCATTAAGGCAAATTCTGCTCGACTAGCTACCTGGCTCTTTGCTTGAAAAGTGCTGCTGATATCTGAAACACRGTGCTAAAGAAGTCCCATTCATAGTCGCGTGGAAGGGAAATGTCACGTGTTGTTGATGGGTCCCCTTTCCCTCTGCCAGTTACCTGCCTGTCTCATCTCCACTGCTGCAGGAGACTCAGGGAGTCTGCGTAGCCGCCTTTGGAGAGTCGAGGGAGTTTCCAGCCTTCTTCTCACGCCAAAGTGGCTTCCAGGCTCCGTGTCATGTCCGTAATGAGGAGGAGGCAGCCRAACTCATTGGTGCGTTTCAGCAGGGCAAGGTCTGCATGAACAGAAGGTCACAAAAGTCACCTCAGAGGCACTTCTTTTTTTTTTTTAATTTGAAGGAGAGTCTGCACAGAAAAAAACAAGCCATCCCACTTATCCCTACTCCTGCTTCACTGCCTTGAAAATGATGCATAAGGGAATTTAAATCTTCAGAGGAAATTTTACAGATAGCTGCAGCCACCTTGGCATGCTAATACCCATGTTTTGTTCACACTGGTGAACTGCAGGGGACAAGTACAAGAATGTGCTCACAAAAAAACTCCTTGTATGCTCCAGACAGACTCAAAAGAAATAGGCAGATAGCTGGAAAAGGAAGCTGTCCTTGCACCAGCTAAGAACAGGAGCTCGAACACCACGGCCTCGCTCACCCTGCATGCCCCGCTGTGTCAGGATTTGATTCAGCCAAGGGGAATCACTAACACTCCCTGTGTCCTTCGCAGCCAGCGCRCTGGGGCTGGGCCTGCGCAGCGGGGTGCTCATAGCAGTGCCCTGTCCCCAGGAGCGAGCCGCCGCGGGCCGCGTCGTCGAAGAGGCCATCCAGCAGGCGCTGCGTGAAGCCGGGTGAGCAGCATCCTCTGCCCTCCCTGAGGTCACGGGCAAGCAGACAACCTCAGGGAACAACCACAAGGGCTGCAGTAGAGCTTGGGGTTTAGTCTCRGGTGTGCCTGAGCCCAGAATGTGTCTTTCAGTGTAGTTTTATCTAACCTGAAGCTTTCTTAAATGTTGTGTTATGCAGTTGTGGAGGTAGGTTATCTGCTAGCAGCAGTGCTTCTTTGGTGCTGGCTAAGCCTTCCTCATCCACAGGCATTTTCTCTATATTTGCAGGTTAAAAGGGATCACAGGCAAAGAAGTGACTCCTTTTCTGCTGCAGAAGATCAGTGAYCTGACCGACGGAGAATCGCTGGCCTCTAGTATCCTTTCACTGAACGGGGAGAGAAGGGACTTCAGTGTGCAACTTCATAACCCCCCAGCAGTGCTCGCTGCAAAACACTGTCACTTTATTGACACTCTGGAAAGATACTTCAGTATCTGCAAATGGAGGAGAGCTTAGCAACTGAATCCTTTTTTTTTTTTTTTCCCTCCCTTTTCTTCAGTAGTACTCTTACTGTCTCCCTCCATTTTTACATTAAAAATTGGAGGCTGACATTGGCAGCAGGTGTCCAAACCTCCAAAGATTTCCTCATTTCTGACCTKTGAGCTCACCTAGCCCACAAAGGAGTCTCAGGATGCTGTTGCCAGTGGTGGGCTCGGCATGTGGGAAGGTGCCTGGCAATCCTAGCACACAGCCTGATACATTGTGCTACCCTATGTGAGTCTTCATGCTTGTCCAGAGCAAGTCAAGCCCAAAAGGAAAATGCTCCTGTGTGAGCATGATTACTGTTGCACGGGCATGGGAAAGGCAGATGCACTGGCCGTGATGCTGCTGTAGGTTCTGGAGAGGTAGGTTCAGTTCCAGGCTTTGCTGCCAGCCCTCTGAGAAACCTCATAGCTGGCCGGTCAAGGCAGATTGGAGAAGAGTTTTGGATACCTAAAGCTGCCTGCAGCCATCTAGTGGGACTTTCAAATACCTCCGATTCTCTGCTCCTATTGAAATCAATAGAAATAGGCACACAGAAGTTTGGCAAAAATAACAACAGGCATCTGTTTCTGAAAAATCTGCCCAAAATCTCCCAGAAGTTTTTAGGTTCTTACCTCCAGTTTAAGCACTTCAGTTCCTTTTCTCTTCTGTGTGGCCTTTGCTTCCCTGTTCATTACATTCCCCATTTGTTATTTATTCCCTATAGAGATTATGGGTTTCCTCTCCTTCGTGGAGATCCAGAGGAGGGAAGATGAGTACATTGAAAGCTTTAGGCTATGCATGTATTATTGTAACTCAGTGTATGTGTTGACAATGGATTATGGTATAGCGGGATCAGACCTACCACGTTTTCCAGCCAGCATTTCCTGCTTTCTCCCATTAGGGGAAATGTAGTTGCTAGAGAGGCTTCTGCCAGGCCAATCATCTTCCTGCCATTCTTTCTTTTCCTCAAAGAAACACCATGCAGACATCGCTCTGATCCAGAACAATGCTCGAGTGGGCAGCTGCATTGCAGTGGCCCTGAGCAAACTACAGAAAGCCACGAGGAAGAGGAGGCTGCCTCAGAGAGAGGACACGATTGCACCTCAGCCAGTGAGTCCTCTCCTGCCCTTTAGATAACATGTCTGTGCTGGCAGCATTGAGGATAAATTTACATCTATTCCCAAAAGTATGAAGTGACTCAGTTCTCAGACAGACCAACCTTTCCAGTTAATGCAGGCGGGCATTCTCTTTTTTGTTCCCTTCATTTTCCTCAGGTGTATGCCATCTCTGTCTCCATTCTCCTTAAAAACCTTTAATCCTTAAGACCCTGATGACCTTTTTGCCTTTTATTGTGCCCTTCCATACAACTTCAGTTGTTCAGTTGCTAGGGAAGAGATGTGGCTACAAGAGCAGACCTTAGTGGGGGGCAATACTTTGATTTGGTGAGGAGTACCTGTTTAATAAATTTMTCCTCTCATTGGTCTCCTGCTTATGACTGCCAAGAAATGGCATATCCCACTCACATATCCAAGAAGTGCTGCATATCCCAAACAGAATCCCTTAAAACCGTAATACATCATTCACTATCACAAATTTTGGACGTGCTACATACTTTACAGRAAATCTGTTTTAGGTAGCCTTTAGAGAGCTGAGGAGCTTCTCAAACCCATTTGCAATAGCACTTGTCAACATAAAAGAGGTCAGTGATTCCAAAGGCAACAGCCCAGCATTTGGCAGAACAAGAGAAAAACAGACGTATGTCCCCAAGGAATCTGGCAGCCTCCTTCTGTGGAGCTGCTTTTTCTACATTTGTGTGACAAGAAGACAATGGTCCGTAAATTGTCACTGGGTGAGGCTGAGTATCATCTGCCCTTGACCTCTGAACATGGCGGTTTCTTCTGGGAGCTTGCACAAAATTACCTAATTCTTCCAGCCAGTTGTTTCCATTTTCTTTGTATTTTCAAGTGGCAGTATCAGCATCTCTTCTGAGGTTTGGTGTGTCAAAAGCTCTCCAAAGAGAGGTGGCCTCAGGGGCACTGACACAACTACATACATGTAACTTCTTTCATAACTCTAACAGTGCTCAGTGAAATGGCCAGCAGCCCTACACACACACAGCAGTGTCCAGCCTGCTGTGCTTTGGCTGTCTGTGAGAAAATGCAGCCTTTAGAAGAGATTTCCATCCTTTCTAAATGGAATTGTGCATCTAGCAAAGGCAAATATGAGCAGGCTGTTACACTAGGTCAATGCTTTCAAGAGGGTGTTAGAAGTGCTTAGGAAAAGCAAAGAAGACTGAGAACTTCTCCATCAAGTTTTTCCACCCAMTTTTTACCCTTTTTTCCCTTTTAAAGGTGGTGATTGGAGGCATCAACGTTGACTTTATAGCCAAGGCGCAGAACTCTGTCATCCTGGTACTGTATGGCCAGCAACTTTCCTAGCACAGCTGCTGTTTGCAGCTTCTCTCGTAGGAGAGCCCAGCCACAGAGAAGGGTGTGGGAAGGGGAACACGTCCACAAACCTGGGCAACGCGCTGCTGCCTACCTGCTATATTGTCTGGCTGGGCAGTGGGGTGGTGCATACTGACCTACAAAGTCCTTATTCCTGCCATTCAAGACAGAAGGGTATGTCTGTAGCTCCTCAGTCCATGCTAAGATGCCTCAGGCTGATTCTGTGATGTCACAGGCCCCAAAATGCTGTTTTTCAGTAGGAGAACTGCCCAAGTCTTCCTCAAAGCACATATGCAAAGAGCTAGAAGCAATAGGTGAAGACTCTCATTGTGCTGTGACACTGTGTAACTCAAAGACAAAGCCTCTGGGGAGGAAGTCCCTAGGCAAGAGCCAGCTCTGACTGTCAGGGGCAGTCCTAGCAATGCAAAGCAATGGGAACAGGGACCAGAACATGATCCTCCAGAAAGAAGGTTTTCAAAGTAGAGCCGACACAGCTACAGCCGAACAGGAAAGCCAGATTCCTGAATCATAAAGGATTTGGGACTCTTTCTTTCTCAGACACACACATACATAAAACACTTACAAATAGATCATTGTAAACGTCACCAGACCCTCTGCCTCTCAGTTYTCTTTGCCCAGAAAAATGACTAAGAAGCTGAGGGACAGAAGAGGTGGGACAGACCTGGGACTTCTCCACTGTAAATGACAGCCTTTTGTATAGCYAGTGGTTGGTCAACAATTTTGTTGAGCTGTAGGTAATACCACAATTGGTGGTGGTGGCAGGGGGGTGGCTCGTTCAAAAATCACCTTGTTTCTCACATTGCTCAAMCCCCTGCCCTGAGATGGGGCAGTGTATGAAGACATCTCAGGCAGACAGGGCAAGGCCCCTCGGGGAGGCTGCTGCAAAAGCAGCTTCCCTATTCCCCTAGCTTCCCTAGCCTTCCCTGTAAAGGCGGCTACACAGCCTCCTGGAGACAGAGGCCGGACAGTTTTGTATTGGTGACACATGCAGTAACACCAGCTGTGCAGACCCAGGAAATAGAAAGTCCAACTATTTCAGCTGTGATCTACATGGTAACATCCCTGGCCCACATGGGGCTACCTCGGCAAGAAGCTTTGCATCCCAGGGCAGGCAGCTGCCCCTTGGCTCGCCAGCAGTGAGTGCAGATCCCCAACATGATGAGGGACCAAGGGCAGCAGCAGACCCCGGGGGAGCAACTGATGGGGGAAAAGGGGAAAAAAGGAATGTTTTTTTTCCTCCGTGTTGCATTCAGAAGTGCGGCATTTGCTGCCTCTCTGCTTCAGAGAGGCCCTAGAGCACACAGTGGCAGCCTCCCAGGTGCCCAGCTCCAGAAAGATACAGGAAGTGACAGCCAAAACATTCCAGTTGGCAGCTGCTCTGCTTAGGCACGAGGAAAGGGCAGCCTCAGCAGTACTGCTCTACTTGGGCTTTTAAAGACAGCTTTTTCCAAAGAGCTCCGTACCCACCTTGTGACTCTCCGTGTTGCAGAGCACTTGGCTTCGCACCATTCACACCTCATGCTGGCCCAGGGAGCGGGAGAGCAGCTGCAGTCGGTGGCTGTAGCTCCTGCCTGGCTTCCAAGGCTGTCCTGAAGCAGGGTCGCTTATGAGCAGCCGTGTGACCTGCAGAGAGAGGGACAGGGCTTYTTGCTCAGTGAAGATGTGGTAGGAGCAATATGCTCACAAACAATACTCTTATGATATGCAGAAGTAGCTGAGAGAGGAGGAGAGAGGTGTGAGCYGTGCTCCGAGTTTGAGTTACGGGCACCATTGGCAAGGTCTGCTGGGAGCCAGGCATTGTTTTTGCCTCACMGGCTGCTCCTTTCTCTCTCYCTTCTCTCAGATACTATTTTAAAGACATTTTAATGTCRTTTCCTTCAGATCTCGTGGAGCTGTGCRACAGCAGAGGGCACTCACAGCTGGGTCCTTGAGTTGCAGMGGCTGGTCCATCCAGGCCACGGGCAGGTCCAGCTTAGGAAGCCTGAACCTCTGTYTTTTGGGATGGGGAAAGGGAAGGGGGGTCAAAAGAGCAGATCAACAGGCCACTCAAAGGAGGAACCTCATAAGCATTTCCAGCATTCCTGCTGGCATCAGTTTTGGGAAATATATTGTGGAACTGCATAAAATAGAGTTTGTGCTCATTACTGACAGAAGCTAGTATCCTCTTTAAGTACTAAAATAGGGGGTGATGTTAAAATCAGTAGTTTGACTTGCCTAAAAACGTATCCTTGCTTTTCTGCTTTGGAGTAGATTTTGGTTTTCCTGGCTGCATCTGATATGGACAGTGAGTTTCAGTTAAAATCGGTGTGCTCGTGCTTTGGAAATCTGCTCCAGTCCGAGGGAGGTGGTAGCCACAGATGGAAGTGGCCTCATTCCTGACAGCGCCTGTGGCAATCCACAGGGAGCGAGAGTAAACATAATAGAGGGGCTCTGGCGGTACGGAGGTTAATTCATGAGGAGTGACAAGTAGCGGAAAGATGGACAGAGGCAACAGACTGCTGATACACAGACAGGTCTGCACTGGTTAGGGCTCAGAGAACCGCCAGAAAGAAGAGCAAAGAGGTTGAGAATTAAGCACCAGGTCTTAAAAATTATAGACCTGGGGAGAGTTGAGGGAAACATAAAATCTTGTAGACTGGAAGAGAGTGATCAAAGAGCCTCTTTTCATGGGAGAGCAGCCCTTTACAGCCACGTGACCAGGTGAGGAAGGGACTGTGTGCAAAGGACAGCTGTATAAGGTCCATGATTTGAACACTCAGCATAGGAGAAGAAGGGTCCTCAGGGAGCTTGGATCTGGGTCCTAGGTACACCCCGAAACAGTGAGAGGGTGGGAGGATAACATTTTGTACTGTGAGATGGCAATAAATACCGTTTCTTGTGCAGGGTGGTGAGAAGTGGTTTTAAGGAAGAAGAATGGGCAGGGGCACCTGGGGCACCGGACAGACRTGAGGCAGAACAAGCCTGGCCCAGGAGCTCCTGTGCGTGGGCACGCACGCCTTTCAGCACTTGTCAGCCAGACATTTAGCATGCTTGTGAAAGCCCTGGATTACCCAGAACAGTGAARGACATTATGAACATGACTGGAAAACTGTCTTTATAAATGGAAAATATGTTACAGGGGTTAAGAGCCTTAAAATAGTTTGATAGCCAGTGATGGAGCCCCAAGAGGTTTGACAACATGTTCAATCCCCTGTCAGGTGCAGGATTTGTTTGAGGGAGCGCATTTACTGAGGTAATTCATTTGGCAGGAGACCTTGGGGATGCCAAGCTTAGGGAACCACTAAGACGGGTTTTATCATCAGAGTTGGAGCCTGGAGATGGGCCTGGAAAGTTCGCGCTCCTCCCAGGCCTYGAGCTAGATGACATCTGCCCCTTCTTATTGCTGCCCTGTGTTTCAGCAGTGGCAACTCCAGTTCCTAGAGACACGGCACCTGTAGTGAGCAGCTCGCTCYGCTTTGCCAGCTAATGCCTTATTCCTCCAGGGCGGTGGACAAACAAATGCTGGAAGAGTGCGGAGATCTTTGGGCGGCGTTGGAAGAAACTTGGCAGGTGCATGAGTGCTCGGGCTCGCCTGCGGACACACGGCAGCTGCCATCAGGAGGATGGAATAGCAGGAGCCCTTGAATGATGCCAAGATCTGGTACCATCGTTAGGCAGTATTGCAGAGGGTACAGTGCCTGGAAAAGGGCCATTCCGAGCAGTAACAGGGGAGGGAGTTGGGCAGGGGATGGGGAAAGAAAGATAAAGATGCTGCAACATCAAGTTAGCTGGTTAGAGCTCAGTGAGCCTCGTACCAGAGTTAGGCATCAGTGATCCCAGTGCCTGATGAGTAGTCTGGTCCTCAGAGTGGAATTGAAGTCAGGTTACAGTCACATTAAAAGTATGACTTGAGGAAGCATTTGCAAGGAACAGTCTTATTCAGAAGTGATTGCCCAGGCATCAGGAACAAGGGGAAASAGAGAGCAGGAGCTACTGTGGCAGAGGAGAGGCTGCAGACACTGGAAGAGGAAAGGATCACAGTGTGATGATCTGGTGCTCCATCACAAGCAGCAGCAGCTCAGTTTGGGGGTACTGGAATCAGCAGGGGCAGAGGGGGCATATTGCAAGAGGATTTGAGGACTACCTTGGATATTTGATCTTTCCTTAAAACTCCTAGCATAAATCTACTATCACTTCACAAATGGTGAATCTTGAGAAGAAAATTTCCATCCATCCATCCATCTCTTGAAGTAAAATTTCAGACTTTAATGGTGAGGGGAAAGGTTTCATTAAGGTTTGGTGGTTCTAATAAGACAGCATAGCAAGCACATCTGTGTGGCRAAGGCCAGTAACTAGAAAGCCCACAGACCTGTGAAGATGGGAAGATCTTCTTCCCCTGCAGGTGAAGATGATGATGTCAGGGAAGTGCAGAAGGTTCCTCCCACTTCTCTTGCCTGTAGCTGAGGTCTAATCCTGAGCAAGGCAGATGGAGGAATAGGCAAGGACTGATAGATGCCAAGTTCTCCAGTAGAGTGTTTACCTACAGACAATCATCCTGCCTGCACAGGCTGTAGTTGTGTTCATGCTGCTCAGATGGATTTATTAACAACCTCTCTTTCCATTTGCTTTCAGACTGCTTAAGCCGTCTTGGGCTGACTCCTCTCTTTTTATCAGCTATGGGAAGAGATGAACATTCAGAGTCCGTTCTACGCTACTGTCACCACATGGTATGTTTTAGAGCAGTGGCTCCTCAGAAGCATGTATGTGATAACATTATGTGGAGGGAAGGGTCTTCTCAACCCTGACAGCCTAACAGCCACCTTCCATCAGGATAAGAGGAGGAATAATCCAGTGCTCCTTTCACTACTGACAATTCGGAAGCAGGGAGCCACTTCCCAAAACACGGCTATATGTTTGTATGCTGAGGGGTCTGAACCATGTGTTGTGAATTACTGAATCACTTAATGATTGAGGTTGGAAGGGAACTCGAGATCATCTAGTCCAGCCTAGAGCATTGTCCCATTGAGCAGTGGGCCCACATTTTCCCTAATATTGTTTTGGTTACTGACATATTTGGAAAAAAAAAAAAAAAAAACCCTTTTTTTGCTGTCATACCTTAAACATACCTTTAAACATACCTTGATGTTTAAAACTGTAGATGGGTCTTGGTCTTCTTTGCTCCATGCCAGACTACTTGAATGATTGCATTCTTTGTATTCCTCCCAGCTTATCTGTCCCTGAGTTCAGCATCAGGAAGTGATGTTTGAGGGAGGAGAGGTAAATCAAGAGAAACCACAAAAACATGTAGGAAGGCCCAAACACAGCCATAAACACACAAAGCATGACCCTGAGGAGAAGCACTGCCAAAACCCGAGTGAAGCATAAGATGGAGAAAGCATGGAATAAGGAGCAAAAGCTTGTTGGTGTCCTTAGGACCCTGGCAAATGAATATACATGGGTAGATAACCCATGGGGCTTGGATTTCTTGGTACCTGAGCAGGACATAGAAACAATAAGAACAAGACTCCTCATTTGATATAGAAAGACTTCACAGCTTTRTGTTTTGGCAAGTGTATAATCCCTCCTCCACGCAGACATGCTCCAGCCTGTGTCACCAAAGCGAGCAATCTCCTAAAGGAAGATGGAGCAGGACTGGCTGGACAGTTGTCAGGTGGAACTTGCCTGTAAGAAAACACATTGCCAGAATCATCAGTGTTGAAGAAGGTCTTTTCTTTTAAACTTTCAGCTTCTCTGTGAGCTGCTGGTGGGCTGYGTTTCTCCAGAAACACATGTAGTCAAAGAAATGTCCTGCATTCTCTAAACCAGATCATTCAAAAAGACCCATGGAGAAAGGAACCTTATAGTTATGTCTACAGCACTGTTGTAAAAATAACCCCAAGACCACTTTCAAAACCAGACTTGCAYGCTGTGCAGTCAGTGATGTTATTAATATAATTGCTAGCTGAAACATACCACCACACCAAGCCCAGCATGTCGAGAAGCCATCAGATGTGTCATATAAACTATGGAAAAGGACAGCTGGAGAAGGCAAAGCTTCACCCCTCCTTCAGACTACTACTCTTTTGCAGTGGAAGCATAACCTCTGGAACTGCATGGAAGAGACTTGCCACTCTCATTTACTAAATAATTTCTTTAACCTTTGCGGGGGCATCTRTTGCATTGCAAGTGTTAAAAAATAGCTATCTGCCAGTATTGTCTAGTCTGAGATTCCTCTGAAATGTTGCTTATCTAAAGGAAGGAGGGAAGTTGAGAGAACAACAAGCTGGGCTATTGCTATCTAGCAACAAGCTATAGCTATTGCAGAGAAAGAATATTCAAGTTTAGGCAAATGTAGCATGGAAGAGAAATGCTCCATTTCTAACTTTCTTCTTGTTTTAGGACATGAGAGCTGTCCTTCAGCTGGAGGGGAAGGACACAGCCACTTACTGTGCTGTGATCACTAGTGCCGGGGAGCTCAGCGTTGGCTTGGGAGACATGGACATCCACCAGGAGATAACAGAGCAATACGTACGTGCGCCGTCTGCTTCATAAATCTCTGCTTAGGAGGAGGACAGTGGGTGTGTGAGAAACAGCAGCCAGTGAAACTATACGAGGAGGGAGTTGGTGAACAGAGGGAACATGGGGGAACCTGAAGTTCATCCCAGGCTTTGGCCACGGAGATAGCAGCACGGCCACCACAGCTGCCTGTTGCTCACTAGCCAGATGGGCTTCTCTCTGTTTCTTTCCCATGAGATATCACCCCTGCTCTCATCCCATGCTTGTAGACCAGAATCCTCTTTGGTGACTAGTCCCAAGTTGCCTGTCATTTTTGGCACCAGCAATAAAAAGCCAATTCACCTGCTGAATTGGTAGGTATTCTGGAAGGTATTCTCCCCTCTAGGAAAAAACAAGTGTGGTCACAATATGGATTAAAGCAAATTTTCCTGTTCCATCTCTTCTCCTCCATCCCCGTTGTTTCTACATGCTGCACTGTATAAACAGCCAGTGCTTCTCAGCATGCCCAAACCTTCAAAACRACAGGAGTAATGGAAGCAGTGATTAAGGACTGACTCAGGGATAGTGCTGTAACTACACCCTCCTYCCTCACTCTGCTCTTTTGTTGACAGAACAAAAGCCACTGCTTCATGACTGACAGCRACATGGAAGTTAAGTGCAGTTTACTTACCAGTGGGATCCCCAGGAGACTGAGAATTCCTAGGAAAAAAAGTGGTCATTGCTCCCACTTCCATCCCCACCCTGCCTCTCCCAAGCATTGACATAGAAACCGCTACATGACAGTTTAATTCTCATGAGCTTTACAAAGTGACTGCGAGAGGGGGCCAGTGGAAACTCTGAGCCAATCTTCTGATGAAAAGTGCCTTTTGAAAGGCCCATTTTTCCGCCAGGATTAGCAGAGCCCAAGGAGAGGAGCTGCAGGAGCATCTGTGGCCCTGGCTGGGGTTTGGCCAATGCTCATGACAGCCCCAGGGGCCAGCAGCAAGTCCCTGCTCTGCTTGTCTTGTAGATAGCAACAACCACAGAGCCCTGCGTGCGAGAGCTGTAACCACTCGAGGAGACATTAAGGGTGGACAGGACGTGATCAGACCAAACAAGATGCAATGTGAAAAGCAAAGAGCCAGACCGTATGTCTCATTCAAGGTGTCACTTCAGTCCTGCCTCGAGGAAGGGGGCCACAGACCGAAGGCCCCCATCTCACCAGTGTTGTTAGCACCAAGATCAGAAAGAAAATGAACTTTCAGACTTGCTCCTCTCTTTCACTGCTTCTTAACTGACTTTCTTGCTGACTTGCTTGCAATTGCCCCTCTTTGCCTGCCCATTCATTGCAGAAGGTATTGCAAATCTTTCCTCAGGTTCTAGATACTCCCCACACTTTGTGTGGGAAGCCCAGCCACAAAAATTTTTATGGATTWTTAATTTCTTATCCAAAAAATTCTGTGGATTCCACTCAATGGGTCAGTCACCTGTTCTTTTTTGTATCAACAAGCCTACCTATGTGGGTATCCCTTTATCATTCCAGACCTTTGCCCTCCACCTCAGTGGAATTTGGCAGGACCAGGGAGGGACGAAGAACAAGCTGTTAAGCTGGCTCAGGATGCACTAGGTGTACAGAAAATTTCTAAATGACATACACAGCAGGCAAAGAAAGGTATAGCCAAACCAGACGCAACACAGGGAATCCTACAGCGAGCTCCTGCCATCAAATAGCAGCATCTCCTCTCCCTATAGCTCCTCCAGCTGAGCCTGGAGTACAACACAGGTCTAGGGAGAGGCCAGGCCCCTGAATCTAGCTCCGCATCACAGCAGGAAACGAAAAGGAGATGAGATGAGGCAAAAGAAAGGATCCATTTCCCTTGAGGAATCGTTCTTCTAGGTTTATACAAATGTCTAAAGGCTGCAATATGAGTGAAAACCACGCATGCTGAGTCTGAAGAGCAGTCATTCTTGCCCACTGCAACAACTCAAACTGTCTCTGTGTGTTCTTGATGTTCACTAGGTGTCCAAATTCAAGGAGAGCCTGCTCCGGGCGCCGCTGGTGTGCGTGGATGGAAACGTGCCCCTTTCCACTCTCCAGTATGTCTGTCAGCTAGCCAGGGAGCACGGGCTGCCAGGTAAGGAGGACTCACCTGCCCTGGCCCGAGCCTCCAAGCAACCCAGCTCCAGAACAACTTGCACACGCCGAGCACGCTGCCACGTGGCTCGCTGGAGATACCCAGCTCTTGTCTGTCRTGCGGTGCTCCCTTCTACACACGGCTCCTTTGCTTAAAATGGATGAAACAATCCCATTTTCTTTCTTTTCTTTTCTTTTTTTTTTTTCCTCCTCTTTCATTCTGCAGATAAATCACACATTCCCATCAGGGTAACAGCTATAGCCCTTAAGCCCTGCCAGAAGGCGAGGAAAGGCTGTTCTGCTCTGCCTTTAAGCTCAAGGCAAGCGCAGCTGCGTCCGCTTCTGCCCGTTCCAATAGCAGCCTGGTTTGCTTCCCAGAATGAGTGCAAGTGCATCTTTTGAGAGAATTTATCTGCCTCTTCCCATAAGATACAWAGTCCCTGCCCAGGGTGCTGAGGGCTCTTTGCAAGGCTTCCTGAGCCTGCAGAGCCTTTTGCTTTTAACAGCAAATTCCTCTTCTGAAGAACAGGAAGACAAAAACAACTGGCAGAGGCTCCATAACCAAATAGAAGGGGTAGCAAACCCAAAGCCTGGACCTATTGTTCCTGAGCAAGAAGCAACTGCATCATTTCTGAGCAAAAGAAAGGAAAATTAGGAGACTTTGTACCCAGTGCAGGGGAGATGGTGCATAAGCTGCTAATAGCTTGTACGTATCACCCCAGCTGTGCAGGTCACTGTGATCTTTTCACACTGTATCCTGTTCTGTAGTAGAATGAATTGTTTGTTCTCCTGTCCATTCCCTGTTAATGAGCTAATTAACTAACCAATTGCAATGTTGCTTTAAAGTATGCTATGAGCCCACAGATGAGAACAAGGCGTCTAAGCCGTTCCTCTCAGACAGCTGGAAAGCACTCACGTTCATCTCCCCCAACCTGCAAGAACTAAGAGCAATAAATCGGACCCTCGGGAACCCTCTGCCAGCAGGTATGGAATACTCAGCCACTCTTTCAGACAACCTAGACCCTTTCCTCTCCAGCTCCCGCTCCAAAATGACAACATTTGCTGACCATCAGACCACATGGTACTAAATCAGAAACTGCCAAAGCAACAGCAAAGCAACTCTTTCTCTGGGGCAATGATTTATTCCAGCTCCAAAACCCTTAACTTTGGCTCTGAMAACTACTGAAGGGCTTGGAGGCTTCATGAAGCCCACACAGCAGCCTCCTGCAGGGCAGCAATGAACTGGCCTCCAAACWGCAACTTGTTTCAAATCACTAGAACTGGCACACTCCCTCTCACACTTGTGAGAGAAAATCACACGGATTCTGTGAGAAGATGCATATTTCCTGAATTTAACGCATAGCCCCATTTCAATCATTTTTGATTGAATTCTGATTTGACTGGGTTCTGATGTTCTTAAAATAAGCATGGCTTTCATTTTGAGAACATTGGGTTATATTACAATTTTGATAAGTATCCTCAGCATTTTCATCTTACAACCATCCTTGCATAGGTTTTTAAGGACCAGGCCATGCTGCTGATCTGTCAAAGAGGCCTGAGATGGCTCTGTTCAAAAACAGAGATCTCATTTTCACCCTTTCATCAATAAGAAAAAAAAAGAAAAAAAGRACAATCCTTAGTTTATATATCTGCTTTAGTGAAGCATGAGGTTACGATGGCCATTGTTCTAATAATAACCAGCCTCTGGGAAAATAAAATATCCCCAGCACACTACAGAAATTCAGTAGCATTAAAACAATAACGTCATGCTCCAAAACAATTGCTTGGTCTCTATAGAGTAGTCCCATGAGAAGTGGATTCCTAAGCAAAGGACAGAAACTTGGTGGGGAAGTCAAGGGTTGGAAATCTTCATCTTCCTCATGATTTAATTAAACATATATATGTATATGAATATATATGTACATGAATATATATGTATATGAATATATATGTATATGAATATATATGTATATAAACCAGATTTTTGTTAGTGCTCATAAATAGGCTGCGAACCTGGTGGTACACAAAGGTTAACCCAGAATGTTTAAAGCGAGGTCACAGTTTTTCCTTCTCCCAATCTTGCTTTCTATCTGAAGAGCTGCCATCCACGTTGGAAGACGTGGTCCCGACGGCCATGAGGCTGGCCCGGCCCTTGCTGACGCAGCTGCGCTGTGTGGTGGTGACACTCGGCGCTCACGGAGTCCTCTTATGTGGCAGGAGCCTGGGGGGCAACGTCTTGCTTTGTCCCCGAGCTCMCCAACAGGTAAGGGCACAGGAAAGAGGCTCCAAGGGCTCTGTTGCTTCTGTCAAGGATGAAATGGCCCCGCTGCTGTTTCTGGCAGTGTGGTGACACGCCTGGAAAGCACAGCACCAGCGTCAGCCGCTGTGGCAAATGTGCATTTGGAAGGGAGGAGGGCACAGAGCTGCGGGTTAGCAAAARCATTCACACTGGCTGTCCCGGCACTGCTGGCTCATGACAGCGGTGCTTGTAGTCAACTAGTTCAAAATGGRCTTTCCATGATTACTCACAAGTACAAAATTTATTTTCAGGAACTTAAATGGCTGCACTAGTGTAAAGGGAAAACTGTTTTCCCAAGGATGCAAACAGGTCCTGTTCATAGTGTACAAAAAGATTGCTGACTTTTTTTTCTTTTTTCCTTTTTAGCATCAGTGAAAGTCTGCATGACATCGGTCATACCCAGATGTCCCTTCTCAGCCTGGATGTTTCCCACTAATTTTCTTTCTACTCTTCCTTACGCAGGGTGCTGCTGGCAGCCTGTGTGCCGCCCACTACCCCGCCATCCACATCAGCAGGGAGGAGATAGTTAATGTCTCTGGAGCTGGTGACAGGTACGTTCCTAACTGCTTCATCTTCTCCCACTAAATGTGGAACCTTCATAATCTGAATYGCTTTAAATGCTACTGCAAAGACAAACTACATTCTGCTGCTTAAGAACCAGACACTAAAACCACAAGAACAGGACTGGTTAACTGAGAGTCCTTGCAAAACTTGCTAAAAATTTCTACATAAACATCTTAAAGCCAGTCTTGCCATTATTAGCTTTGCATTTCTTTAAGATCCAAGCCTTTCATGACAGTCTAGTTGTTCTGAATTACTTCCGACTAAAGTGCTAAAAGCAGAGTAAACCATCTTACATCAAAACTGTCTTGCTAACTACTTTAATACTTCTCCAGTGGAAGTGAGACTGGCACTTAGCATCTAAAATTGCCCTATAAAAGCAGCTCATCAGGTTCAGCATCAGCATCTGGCAGTAGCTCCTGTGTTTCAAGAGAGTCTTCTACATAATTCTCCAAACCAATCACACAGTGTTGTACACAGGAGTGGGAAATGACAGATGATCAATTCTGTGAAAGTGATATCTATATCTATATGTAGCCATCCCTCCTGCCTTTTGTTTTTTTTTCCTTCATATGCTGCAATAACTGACTCTAACCTTGGCTGCCTTGGACAACACCAAAAGGGTGCATGTGACAGAACTTCCCTTGTATTTTTCTACTCTTACTTACCAATAACTCAATAACACTATTGCTTTTCTCTTCTATGAGTGTGGAGAATGAAAACTCATCTTAATAGAAATTTACAGGGGTCCTCAGTGTTTCAGCTAGGGTCATTCAATAACTTCTTGCCAAACTGATTAATCTGCTTTGCGCCAGGRTCTCCAGTTCCTTCTTGTATCCCTAGTCACTGTTAAGATGAGTTGGCTACAACTGGCACAGCTCCCTAGGGAAGACTGGGGCCTTTTTCAGTGCAATTCCTGCAAGCACAACAGAGAGAACGGGCCTGGAAGGAGCCTCGAGGGGTCAGCCTGTCCTAAGGAACGCTTGCTGTGCTAACTAGTCACACAGATGTGCCTAGCCTTCTGTCAGCCCCTCCAGTGATGGGGCTGCCGCCTCTACACCATCTGTTCCATACATAACTATTCCTTACCATGGGATATTTTTCCTAAAGGCTARTGTAATCTAAATATCTTTTTTAGGGGTTCCTTTCCCCTTCGAAAAGCTTAGTTTAAGGGCAAAGGCTAAATAAAGTGTGCCACTGACCAACTGGGATGAACAGAAGGCATACCTGAAGTTTGTGTTTCCTTCCAACACCCATCCCCAACTTTCAGGTTAGGGATGCATTAATGCCCCTAGTCCTGAAGTAAAAGGGATCTCCCCTCTGGAGACCCCATTTCCCAGAGCCTGGAGCCCACCTGGGAATTTTCACAGTCCTCGTGTTTGATCGGCAACAACAACTCATGGCTGCTGCTGTGACCTGCAGAACCTCCAGAGGCCAAAACAGATCCCCTGGCTGTCAACACGCTGACACTGCAGTCACATACGTGGTACCAGCCAGGTATATAACCTTATAAAGTTGCCTAGAGTCACCTCACACTAGAGTCACCTCACAGAGGAAGTCTCTGGCTCTTTCCAAGGGACTACGCAGTAGAGCATGACCCAGGGCGGTGACATGTTCGTGGCTTGGTCCCTGTGGATCCCTGCCCTTCAGAAATGCTGGGAGCACCGGGGCCCTCCTGCTCTTTCTCTGGGGAGCTGAGGAAGACGGTGGAGCCTTCCTCCGGGACGGCAGCTATCCCGGTGTGAGCGAGGGAGCCTGCAGCGCCGGTGTGSGGGGGCCTCGTGCCTCGTTTCCGTCCCGAGCCTCCCTCGGAGCCCCAGGGACGCTCCCGAAGGAGCCGCTCCCGCTCCTCGCACGCGGCTGCCATGACAACACAACAGCGCCCGCATCGCTAGGGAAGGTCGCCCCAAATATTTACCGCGAGCTCCGGAGCTGCTGAGAGATGGAGCGGCGCCTGCAAACCGCAGTCTTGTGTGTCATTGTTTGGGAGGAAAGTAGCTGTCGAGGTAATGAAGGGAAGCACCAAAGCCCTTGCTCGTCCCTCKCCTGCAGTCAGGAGCCCCGGGCTCCCCGAGCACGGGCACGTTCCCCGCAAGCCGYGGGCCAGGCCGAGCCCTCCCCGTCGCTCCCATCAGCGCAGCCCCACACGGCAAGAGGGGCAGGAGCTGCCGGGACGCAGAGCCACTCACGGAGACCCTTCCCTGGGGGAGGTGGTGCCCTCTCCTCCATGTGCCTGTGAGGGAAGGCCATGARGATGAGGAGGCAGCCGGCAAGGCAGAGCCTTGTGTSCCCTGCTGGGAGCGAGGGAGCCCCSCGGCTCCCGTGCCAYGGCAGGGACCGGGCAGTGCTGGTGYTCAGGCCGCTCCGCGTAGCTGTCCCTTGTCATCTCTCGTCATGAATCCTCCCCCCATCACGTTTTCCTGTCCTGGCTTTTTCCTCTCAAAGGCCGTTCTCGTCTCCCTTCTTCGTTGTCTTCTCCTCGGTCCTTGCCTAGCTTCCTGATGCCGCCCTTGCCAAGGTGTGTACTTGGGAATTAAACACTGGCCCCCAGCAGATCAGGAACACCTCAGCGCTTCAYGAGGACCTGCGAGTGGGAGCTGCTCTTCCAAACACACCAGTTTTACTGGGAAACCTCAAATGGAAAGTGACAGCTAACGTTCAAAAAAGGCGATATCAAAAACCTCATTCCAGCTTTGGATTTCTTTTTCCAGCTCTGCCTGGTAGTTTCTAGCACATATATATGGAAGCTTCACCTGCCTTCCCATCCACCCCTTCCTCATTGGGGAAGACGAGGAATATAGCCCATAGCAAAGAACAGATAAATGATGAAAATAATTAGAGAGCAAGGGAAAAGCAGATTTCTCCCCTTTTTAGACACCCTTCTTTTCCTCTGCCGAACTTGCAAAAGTAGATAGAAATTAAATGTTTTAGAATGGAAAAGTACCTCAACTTCTAACATGAGAAACCACCATCTACTAAAATGCAATTAAGTAGCACTATTTGATGCCCCAGATTTAAAAATAAAGCAAAACATTCTCATTAGATTTTCATCCCTTTTCTGGGTCTTACCGAGGTGTTTTCTGCTTCTGCTAACTGCTGGTTTATGTTAAARTGAATTCACTTACAAATGATCGTGTTCCTGGGGTCGAAGTTGTTCCCAAGTGATCAGTGTCTTTCCTTTCTCTCCACAGTTTAATGGCTGGAGTCATTGCAGGGATGCTTGCTAACCATGACACAGATACCTGTGTCCGGATGGGTCTTCTTGCTGCAAACTTGTCTCTCCGTTCCTATGAGCCCATTTCCCCAGAAATCAGCACTCACAGTGTCAGCCTGGATCAAGTCAAGAGCAGGAACTGGCCAGAGGTGAAGATATGGGAGATGGACTAAATTTTGTGCACCATGGCTTTCTCACTCGCTACCTTATCCTTCCTAACACAGCCAGGCAGCAGAATGTTTCGAGTTGCAAGCTCAGAAACTTGATTGCTGGGCGGTCAACTTGGCCTTGCAGTGCACACTGCACCTTTTAGGAGGAGAACTGTCAATACTGCCTTTGGGGACAACTTGTATTGCATTGTGCACACTCACTTTTGCCCGCTGTTGCTTCCTCTTTCTTTTCTTCGGTGTGTTGAATCAAGCTGCAACTGCACCTTGATTCTTCTGTATGCCACCTGTTGATAGTTTATCTCATCTCAGGCTCTAATGGGAGCACTTAACTGTTCTGATCATGGGTAAAATTACTCAGGCCCCAAGCCAGGGGACCCTTGTAAAGAAAAGCAGGACTCAGCTCTTTCAGACTTCCTGCCTTCTTGATCTCTAGGTCACCATCTTATGTCACTATTGTAAATTACCCAAATAACAACAGAGCAGCTCCCTCTTGTAAATTAACGACAGAGCAGTTCCTCTATTGTTACCTTCCAGATCTTGGGACCATTTCTCTTTAGGCAGGCCCTGTAGCAACATACTGTCTTGCTCCTCACTCCTGATTTYTCTCCAACATCTCTCATGAACATCTTCCCTCAGACATCAAGCATCCTGGCTATGAGGAAGGGAGCCATCTCCTAACTCCTCCATWTCCAACCCACTTGGCCACCCGTCGGCTACCTGACATGGGGAACAGCCGCACTGATAGACACACGTGGCCTAGCAACCCTCATGGAGCACTGCAGGCAGGGGCCACAKTGGTTGCACCTTGCTTGAACACCTCTGGAAGCAAGAAGAATCCAGGCACCATCAGTGAGGATCAGGACAATCACAGCGCTGCCAGGAAGGTGGGAAAGCACCGGCCCCATTTACAGACAGACAGGCAAGTTGTGTAAATCAGATGGTGCTCCCAAGTTCACGCCAAGTCCATGGCAAAGTAAGGAGCAGAACTGAGCTGCCTCTACCACTCTGTCCCACCTTTGAGCTTCATGGTGACACCTCTGCCTTTCCAGAATCTTTATCAGCAAGAACATCTACACTTTGATCCATTTTATACAAATTAAGTCATGTCCACAGGCTTTTAGCAATTAACCAATGCAGCAAACTTGGCTTTGGAAATCAGCTACTCAACCCTGTCTTGTGTAGCTTGCCTCCCAGAGAGAGCACCTCTGCTTTTCTTCCAACCCCAGAGAGATTAAACTTTGGGGAGGGACCACGCCAGCTTTGCCTCTGTGGTTTAAGTGTTACACAGAGTCACTCATTGCTGAGGAGGCAATAAAAGAGGCACTCATTGCTGAGGAGGCCACTGTGGTGGCAGTGGGGGAGCACAGGGACATCTCTGTGGGTCTCAGAAGATGCTTGCTCCTCCAGAGCCAAAGGCTCCAGTCTCATGAGCCATTCCCAGATGTCACATGAGAAGGCCAGTGGCGAACAAATCCCTGCTGCACATCACAACACCCACCRTGTAATTGCAAACCCCAAAATGATGGCTGTGGGAAAGGGTCAGGCTTCTAACACAGGCTTGAGGCGCGCGGTCAACTAGCCAGTACTGATTGTGGCTTCCCAGTTCAGAGTTACAACAGCCACACATGAAAATACATAGTTTTTGCTAGAACTCCTTTGCTGTTTGTACGAAGAATTATAGCAGCAGAGGTGTGGAAATGATCTGYGACTTACCTCAGCTCTGGCCTCCCAATGGCCCAACCTCCCTCCTGCTCACACGCGGGAAGGTGGGATAGCAGCTCTGCGGAAGAGCCCGTGATGGTGGAAGATTTTCTTCTTCAGCTTAGAAGCTGTGATGGGCACAAAGAAAGAAGGAAGCTTCTCATTTTGTATCTAAAGCCAATGTTGCAAACAGCATTAAAAAAAAAAAAAAAAAAAGAAAGAAAGAAAAACTCAGGAAAGACAGATTTCCTCAAGGTCCATAACTGGTGATTTCATGGAACCAAAGGTATATTCCTGGAGATAAGAAAATGTGGTTTTGATCCCCAAATGACCACRTTGCTGGCACAGCAGATCCGCAGGAGGCAGCTGCCTCCATGCTACGCCCCTGGGCTGTCCCTGGTGCCATCCACCCTGCAGGACCAGCCTTCGAGGGTCCGGGCAGTAGCACACGCTGCCCTTGGCCAGGTTTTGCCCTTTGCCAYAGGGAGGTGCAGGTAGCGAAGAGCTGCTGCTATTGCTGGCTGTAGCCCAGGCACTGCCCCCCGACAAGGCCACCAAGGAGCAGGAGGAGGCCCTGAGCAGGGCCCATCAGAGGAGCAGGGCTGAGCTGCTGCTGGCTGCCCAGGGGCTTTGCCTRCCTCGGGCTGGCAGTGCCTGCTTCAAACCGAGGCCGGGTTGTGGGGTATCGAAGAGCAGGGTCACCAAGCCCTTGATCATCTGGGTTTTTCATATGTGATACCAGGAATGCGTCCACTGGCAGTAGTGCTGATGAGATGAGAGCAGATGCTGACGCAAAGATGGCTCTTATGGCTGAAATTGCTTCATTTTCCCGTTGACTCTAATACTTGCGCACATAGATCTAACATAAAACAAGAACAGCCAACAGCACAAGGCCAAAGAGGCAGCAGCCTGGGAGCAGGACTAGGCAGTCACCACCATCTTGATCCATACCTTCATTCAGCCCAACTGCAGTCCCTGACGGTGTTTGGCAAACAGTTTAGTGAATGCTGGAACTAATCAAACCTGATTTCCAGTAAATTCAGCTCTTGGGGCTGGATTTTTTTTTATAGCAGAGTTATGGTGAGCCTGGAGTACGTCCTCACCCTGTTTCATGCAGAGCATGGACAACTGTAAGGACCCTTGACTGAGGAGCAAACCTGTGGCATCTAGCAAGGCACAAAAGCCACCTAAAGCGGGTCAGGACATCGGTAACGTGACCCTCCAGTGCGGACTCTCTGTTGCATTACAAGAAATGAGCTCCCAGTGAAACCAGTGCAGGAATTCACTGGATTTCCTTCCTCTACCCAGACAACTTCCCCAAAGCTTGTGGCAGCTCCTTCCCTCTGCTCCAGCGGCCTTCCTGTCGGATTTGGCTAAAACCGTCAAAGAGCTGAAAAGGCACAAGGGCTGAGAGGGAACTGACAGAGCAGTTCATCATCCCGGCATTATCTCCTTCACAAACAGCAATACGAGAGCAGCCTCCTGTAGAGCAACAGGCCCCGCTTGCCTCTTGCACACCCCTCTGCCCGGCTCGCGCACGAGCTCTTCGCACCAGCAGTCGCTGCGCACCCACCGACACCCCGACCCACCGCGCGGAGCCGCGCGGTGGGAGCGGTGGGAGGGCGCTGGGGCCTTCGGAGAGCGAGGGAGGGGATGGGACCTGTGGGAGCAATAGCAGCCCTGTCTGCGCACGAACGGGAGGTGGGACACGGCGGGGCGGGAGGACGGGGCTCTGTGCCCTGGGGCAGGACCCTGCTCTATAAAATGCCTTCAGCACCCGGTTGTAAGGAAGTGGGGAGCTCCAGCCTCCATCCTTCTGGCTAGTGGAACCCCAAGTGAAGCCACCGAGGGAGGATGCAGGTCCAGGCGCTGGCTGCTGCGGCCCTCGTGCTGGTGCTGATCTCCTTAGGCCCAGCCCTGGCAGAGGGAGCGTGGGGCCACATCCCGGGGCGGCAGCCGGGAGCCCGGAGCACCGGAGCAGCCCCTCCGCCTGCGGATGAAGGGGACAACGCGTCCGGGCAGGGCTCAGCGAGAGGCCACGCCGCTGGCAGAGAGGGGAAGGGGGCCGCCCCGGCTGGGCTCCTGCTGTCCAGGCAGGACAAGGCCCCGAAGCACCAGCCCTCCAGAAACAGGGGCCTGGGGCTGAGCCACCACCTCAAGGGCTACGGCAAGTTCAACTCGGACACGGTGAGTGAGACCCCCGTCCGCTCCCGGTGCTCGCGGTGTCCAGCGCAGTGGGGCGCCCGCCTTTGCGCCTTGACCTACGGTTTGCAGGACACAGACACGGGGACAGGGCCACGGGGCAGCGCCAGGCTGCGGCTCTGGCCTCGAGAGCTGCTGACAGGGAGAGCCTCTCTGCTCTGCTCTGCAGCTCCTCTGCTTTCCCYGGGGAGGCAGYGCGGGGATCTCTCACRCTAAGAGGCTGTCAGCAAGGAAACRYAGCTGAAGCCCTTGGCTGGTTTGCTCWGCACCTAGCTAGGGACAGGGACCTAGGGACAGGTCCTGGGCTGGAGAGACACGGCTGCAGAGACAAGGAAAACAACCAGGACAGCCCCAAAATGCAACTCCAAGCTAGAATACAGAGGGAAAAAAGTGTATTTTCGCATTCTAACTAATCTGAGTTAGTACTTTTCAGCACGGCTGTTCCCACCAAGTTTTAGCACCCAGACACTTGCAGTTGAACAACAACTAGACGTTAACACGAGGCACCCGAGCCTGGGGATGTCGGAGACCCTGGGGSGTCTCCGGAGCGCCGCGCACCTCCCGGCTTCTCCAGGGTGAAAGGGYTGGGGGTCGGAGGCGCCCAGCCCCACGGCCGCCCCCAGGCTGCGGCTCTGCCCGGAGGGCCGCACGGCGCCACGGCCGCCTCTTCTCCCTCCGCAGCACTCGTGCCACGGGATCCAGTCGCGGCCCTGCCACAAGCCCTCCGACTGCGACGGCTGCCTCGGCCTCTACACCTGCAGGCCGCCCAAGGGCACGTGCGACTTGAAAGCGGTTTCCCGGGAATGAGGTAAAGGGGAAGGCAGCAGCTGGCACAATCGGGCCTCCCCCAGGAAGGCCCAGGGGGGTCTTGTCCCTCAGGTTCAGCTCCATGGGGTGATGCCAAGCTCCGCTCCAGGGCTCTGCTCCCTGCCAGGGCTGGGGGAACTCACCTGCCACCTCTGCGCTCGAGTGGCCACACGTGCCTCGCGAGCGTGTTGGCAGCCCCGCAGCACCGGCAGCTTGTTGGCTGGTGAAACGCGGGAGAGGCGGAGGTGCTCTGGGAATACGGCATGCACAGCACACGGCGCATAGCCGGTACACAGGCTCTGCTCGTGCGGTCTCCTCYGGGCAGTGCTGCTGGCACAGCCCAGGGGAAGGTGTTGGGCTCAGGTGACCTGTGCTCAGACCTAGACCATCTGCTCTCATGTCCTTTCTTGGCAGGTGGATCCCTCCAAAGCACATAGAGCACTTAAAGACAAGCCGTCCTGCTCATCCTGGAGAAACAGAGCTTCACATAATATTGGAGAGACTGTCCTACAGCTGGAGACACACTTTTTTTTTTTTGGTCTAACTTTTATTTTAAATCCTTAATTAGAAACTTGTAAGCATTTCTTCCACTGTGCTTTTCATGCCACTGCTTTTTCAGCCTCTGGGATTCTGTGAGCTGTGTAGGTTTGATTCCCACTTTCCTTGGAGCTCCCAGTGGACACGTTGAGGAGCAGGGAGCCCTGTCCCGGCAGAGCCCACTTGGAGCTGTCCCGTTACCTGCAGCCCCCAAATGCAGCAAATGGGGCTATTTTACAATCCATTTCGTTTTGAGCTGTTAGGATATTTCAGCATGTGGAAAGTAGAGTTTGGCTAAGAAACCTGTTAGCCTGAGGGCATCCCAGGAAACCCTCCCAACTCCTTAAAGGCAGCTCCAGCGGAGGAAGAGCCCCCGGAGCG